ACAGGTTGTCAGGGGTAGGATGATGTAGAGTGAGCACTAAACTGGAAACCGGAAGATGAGAGTTGGAATCCTGGCTCTGCTACTCAGGAGCCGTATGACCTTGGTTAAGTTATACGACCTCTCTGAGCCTAGGGGAATACAAATAGTATTTCCACCTCTCAGGGCTATACTAAGGAATCATTACATGAGAAAATAGGGGAGGGGACCAATAAGCGTTGAAAGAGAGTAAGTGGGGTGCAGGGAGGGGTGGGGTGGGTTGGGGAGGGGACTTCCCAGGGGCGAGAAGCTTTCCAGATGGGAATCCAGGAAGGCTAGATGGAGGAATGGTGTGCTTGAGCTAGGCACTGAAGGGCTAGGAGGGTTTGGGCTGGCAGAGATAGAAAGGGAAGAGCATCCTAGGTGGCAAGGACAGCAACGGGCACAGGCTCGGAGTTGGGAAGCTGGGGCAGCTCAGCCTAAGAGTGAATCTCGGGTATCCCGCAAGGCTCGGCATACTCACGTGAGCCCTGGCTTGAGCTGGGCAGTGCCACCCTGTGCTGGTTACTTAATGCTGCAAAATAGGCAGATCTGTGCCCCCCAACCTCCCGCCTCAAGGTCACAGTGTTGGTGACTGTAACCAACTCCACCCAAGTCTCGGAGTTTAACAAGGGGACGGTCTCTGGGTCCCCAACTCCAGCTTGGCACAGAGCTGACCACCCAGCAGGGCTGAGAGATTGACTAATCACCTGATTGGCTGGCTGACTGACGCTGTGCCCTGGAATATGCCACAGAACACACGTATACGCCTGGCCCCATGCCTTGTGTCAGCCTCAACATGCCAGTGGTTCATCCGCCCTTTCATTCACTCATCCATGCCTTCATTTAGTGCCTGCTCTGTGCCCACCCCGAGCTCAGCTCATAGCTCACAGGCCATGCCGCCCTCTCTTCCTGCAGCCAGGAGCCCAGCGGGCATCCTGTGGGCTCAGCATACTCCTCTGTCCCCTCCATCCCCCCAGCCCAGGGCAAGTCTGACACTTAGGTGCCCACACTCCTCAGCAGCCATAGGTCCCTGGAACGATTATCTGGAGAAAAGAGGAAGAAAATGAAAACTATTTCAGCAACGAAATCAAGCTACCAACAGAACCCAGGGAGTACATTTCAGGCATTTTCTCAAAGGAGAAGCCTAGCTTTATCCCTGGCCTACGTGTCCTGTGACACCGTGCTGTGGTCACGGTTCTCTGCAAGGGCTTTGCAGACGGGTCTGGGACCACTCCGAGCAGGGGAAAGAGCCCCACACCCCCACGCTGGCCCTGCAGAAGCCGCAAATGCGGCCCACAGTGTGCTGGCTGCCGTTGTAAAGAGCCCACGGTTTCAAGTTAGCATTTATGGAGCACCCACCCTCTGCCCGGCACCCACTAGGAACAGACACACAAAGGAGACACAATCTGTGTGGAGGGAGGGGAGATGAGCAGATGAGGGAGGTGGTGGGCCCTGAAGGGGGTCTTGTAAAATGCTTCAAGAACACAGAGGAGGGAGTAGAGCCAAGGAGGTGAGATCTGGGTAGAAAAGGCTGATGGGGGCTCTGCAAGCAGACGATGAGGCAGAGAGCAGGCCAGGTGGAAGAGCAGCACATGCAAAGACCCTGGGGCAGGAGGCTTCGTGGCTTTACCATGACCACCTCTGCTGAAGCCGGTGGCCTGGCTTCCCTGCCCCATCCTTGGGCATCCCACACCGTGGGAAGAAGAAACGGGAACTCTTGTTTGATGAGCTCCTACTATGCACCAGACAGAGCAGAACAGGAAAGACTGGAGTGTGAGGAGATGGCCTCTGGAATCAGAGGCCTGCTTCATTCCACTACTGCAAGCTCTGATTGTGGGGAGCACTGAATTTCCACTCTTTGTTCCCCCATTGTGTAATGGGGATGACAACAATCCCCCAGGGTTGACCAGAGGCTGACAGAGGACCGTGGAGAGAGCTCAGCGCACCACCGGCACACACAGGCCGTGGTCTTCAACTGTGAGTGCACAAACACGTCATCTCGGAGCGACAAACATTAGGTCTCGGGGGTCCGCTGCCACCCATTCTGACTCCATCAGCCTGGGGAGGGGCCCAGGCATCTGCATATCACCACACGCTCCCTAAGTGATTCTGAAGCAGGTGGCCTGAGCACCACACTTGGAGAAATACCAGCTGGATGAATGCTTGCTGACACCATCATTTACTTTGTTGTCTCCTTTGACGCTCCAGATCGCCCTGCAAAGTCTGAACCAGTAACGCACTTCACACGTGAGGAAAGAGGCTCAGACAGGCAAGTTGACAGCCCCAGGTCACACAGCCAGTGACGGGCCAGGTCTGCCCACCCCCGAGCACAGGCCTCTCCTAGCGAGGCATCCAGGGCCCCCTGCCTGGGCAGCTCTCGTCCTGGCAGAGGCTTCATGGGTGTCCCCGGGCCTCACTGTTGCATTCCCCAGCCCACTCCACTGCCCTACTGTTGCTTCCTCCTCCAGCTGCTAATCAGGCCTCGCATACCATCCGTTTCCTGCCGGCCTGTGAGCCTCCTCTGCTCCTGATGGCACTTCCTGGCCTTGTGCCTTCGCATTACCTCCTTTGCCTCCAGGGGGGTTGGAGCAGGGGCTGGGCAGCGGCAGATACTGGGCATGAGATCATCAGGAGCACTAGCCGCCCTCCGAGGGCCCAGACTGCCTCCGCATGGCCACCCTATCCACACCCCAGGGGCCTGTGTCTGGATGGCCATTCCTTGTTTACAGACCACAGGAACGGTGGGTTTCAGGGCAGAGTGAGCTTTCCCACCGACTGCGAGCACAAAGGAAATTGGCAGATGGTGCCAGGACACACCCTGTCAAGATCCACCACCAGCACCGAGTCTGACACCCGGCAGGAAGTGATGCCCAGCTGTCCCAGTGGGCACGTACGCCATGTATCATGAAGGCAGGCAGCTGGCACAGGTCGGGGTGAAGGGGTGAGGGGCTAGGGCACCAGGGACAGAGCGCTGGTCTGTCCTGGCTCCTCCGTGGCCACTCCCACCCCATGCAGGAGAAGGCAGAGTTAATCTGTTTGTTCATTCCCCGCATAGTGATGGAATGTGCCGGATCCCGCTCGGAAGCCCAACTCATGATTATCACTCTTGCCGTTCCAGCATCACCTGGCTTCCCCACCTGCTGGGCATCCCCTTGGACAAACATGCCACCACAGCTTTCTGATAAAACAAAAACACCTCCCATTTCTCGGCACCTGTTCACTGCAAGTCTTGGGGCAGGAGCTGTGATCACGCATGTCCGCACGCCTCACCCCTCTTCACCAGCCCCCCCTCGTCAGTCTTGTCAGCTCCTTCCCATCCAACCTGCTCTGGTCGCCGTCATGATGACCTCCATCCCCAAAATCCACCCTCTCCGTTCCTAGGCTGACCCAGCTGACACCCTTGTCCTCATCTGGCTTCTCCAGCCCTGCCCCGTCCCAGCCGCGGCCTCCCCACTCCCTTGCTGGGTGCTCTTCGCTAGAAGATCGCGAAATCGCAGAGGCCCGAGGCCTCGCTGCCTGTAAGCTGCCTCAGGTGCCTGCCAGACCTAAGCTCTCAGCTTCCAAGCCTCATCTCCAGGCCACCCACATCCACCCCTGTCTCCAACTGCCAACCCGACAGTGCCACCTGGGTGTCCAAGGGCCATTTCAAACCAACATGCCCGAAACAGAGACATCTTTATCTCCCCCTTCCCCAAAATCCTCCTCCCTCCCCAGGCCCCATTGCTACCCTAGTGTCCGCTGACTTACTAAGCGGCCCCAGGCAAGACCCTCGTCCTCCCAGGTCTCTGCCCAGCTGCATAATGGAACCAGTTTGGGACTTCCCAACCATTCATTCATCCATGGAAAACCAGGGGCAACTATTCAAAGGACAGATTCCCACTGTCTGCTCTGGGATATTCCAAATCAGCTGGCCCGGGGTGGGGCCCCGGTCTCTGCAGTCTGTAAAAGCTCCTCACCTGATTTTCACGATGAACAGAATCCGAGCCACCACCACCCGTCACTACTGCCCCAGCTTCTTGGTTCCCGGGAGCTCTGGTCCTGCCTCAGCTGCTTTGTCTTCCAAGCTGCTTTTTGATTCTTATTTATCTCAACAGCCTTGTGGGGTTGAGGCTCTGATTGTCCCCATTTTACAGATGAAGAAACTGAGGTTCAAGGGGCCACACGACTGGACCACGGTCACATCAGAAGCAGAACCAGGATACTTGATTCCACCTGATATTCCTTTTTTCTTTTTAACGCCTATAGCACCTGGGCTTCCTAAGTGGTCTCCCATCCAAGTACTAACCAGGCCTGACCCTGCTTAGCTTCCGAGATCAGACATTGATCGGGCTTGTTCAGAATGACATGGCCATAGACCATGGACCGTGGCTCCACTGGGGCGTGAACCCAGGACTTTCTGCGTGTAAAGCAGATGTGCTAACCGCTATACTATGGAACCACGTCACCAAACCCAAAAGGTCCCCACAAACCCAGGCTGGCACTAATCCGGCCCTGCAGAGCCAAGAACTGCTGTCTGTTTCCCTTCTCCCATCCACATGACTTCTGAGGCCCCTAAAGCCTCACCCTCCCCCAGCATGTCATGGGGTCACCTGAGAAAATCTGGCTCTAGGCCCAGGCTGACCCAGGCTGGATACTTGACTCTGCTACACCCCAGCTAGGTGGGCAAGTGCCTTAAACTAGCTGAGTCTCAGTATTCTGAGCTATAAGATGGGGTAATGACTCCCGCCCTTGGGGTTACAAGAACTAAGGCCCTTGGTAGGTGCTGGGCTTGGGGCCTCAGAGATGAAGTTGTAGAGCTGGGGTCTCAGGTGGGGTCCAGGGCTCAGCCTCCGTGGGGTCAGCCTGGCTGCCCTGAGGCAGCCACCACCCACGGGGCCTGCCTATCTGAAGCCAGCCCGGCCCTCACAAAGAAACAATAACAGGAAACCATCCCGGGGGAAGTGGGCCAGGGCCAGCTGGAAAACCTGAGGGGGAGGCAGCGGCCTCCCTTGCTGCAGGGTGTGGCTCCCCACTGGAGGCTGTGGCCGAGCTCCGCAGAGCCCCACAGCACTCGGCCCTGGGCAGACGGACGGAACGGAGACATCGCTCAGGCCACAGGCACGGTGAGTAAGCGCTCCCCAACCCTAGTCTATCCCAGACCACTACCACATGCCCAAGATGGAAGGCTCCTCACCTTCCCCATCTGTACAATGGTCACTGGCAGAGTCCTAGGTAAGAGCCAATCTTCAGGGCAGACGGGGTTTCCTCCTGGCTCAGAGCAGGGCTAGGAAGCAGACCCAGTGGTGGTGTCTTGGGCACAAATGGGTGTTCTTGGGGCTGAGGGATGGGGTAAGGGCTCAGCTCTTCCACATGTAGACTCTCCACTCAGTGTGACTCGAGGGCCCACTGGCTTCCAGCAGTGCCAGGCCCAGAGAGGGCAGAGTCCTGCCTGAATTGGTCAGCACGCCAGGGGCAGATAGTGGTGCCTAGGCCTAGGCTCCCGCAGGTGCCCCTCCCCCCAGCGTGGAGGATTAACCACAGCCTGTCGTCACTCCCTCCCCCCATGGCTCCTACTAGGACTGGGCGAGAGGACCCCCGGGAGGGGCGGTCTGAGCCTCGGCCTCTCTGTCAGCCACGGCCCCGATTTTCAGAATAGGCAAGCTGAAGCTTAGCTCCGAGTGCTTCAGTCCCTGCTTGTGAAAGGCCCTTCCCTTCCCGCCCCGGACACTGCAGGGGCCACTCCGAGCTGTGGGAGCCGCAGGTGGGAAGGCAGCCAGCCCATCCCTTCTCCCTCAACACCCAGACCCCCGAAGTTGGGGCCCCGAGGCCCTCATATTCTAGGGAAGTCCCCCAAAAGGACTTGAAGGCAGCTGACCTAGGGTGAGAGCCCAGCCTGGAGACAGTCGTCCTGGGGGCAGATCCCAGCCCTGCCACTCACTTCCCATGGGACTTTGGGAAAATTACGTTATCGAACCTCGGTTTGCTTCCCTGAACTACGGAGACAGCGAGGCCTTTTTTTACAATTCATTGTGGAAACTGAAGGTGATACACACAGAAAGCGCTCAAACAATGGAGCTCGTTATTTTACTACTACCAACCACCGCATGTGTCAGATACGGCCTTTCTTCGTTTCTCAGTGACGGAAACTGAGATTTGGAGAAGTTCAATAAGAGCGGGAGTGAGGCTTGGAACAGGATCTTGAACCCCAAAGCCCAGGCTCTTTCTGGCACCGCGTAGCTTCTCCACATCTCAGCTTTCTCATCTGTAAAATGGAGGAAACGGTCTCTTTTTGAGTCAATTATGAGGTGAAGTACACACCCAGTGCCGGGAGTGGCTCATAGTAGGGGACCTTCAAGAAATGATGGCTGAATTTACCCGCTACCCCAGAGCTGACTGTGGCTGTGAATGTCGAAGTTTTTGACCCCTGAAGTCAGTCAGTCCTCAGCAGGCGAGAGGAAGGGGGTGAATGTGAGGGAATGTCCGCTCAGCTCTTCCTCTGGCAAACTCTGGGGAGCTACTCTGTGCCAAGTTCCGCCAGCCCCTCTAAAGACATTTCTGTGCTTGTTCCGCCAGCCCCTCTAAAGACATTTCTGCCATGAATGGTGTGCAGATTGGGTCCTACAGGAGATAAACGGCGTTCTGGGGAAGGCGGGGAGCCTAGGCAGCTCAGAGAACCGGAGGGAGCCAGGGTGGCCGGAGGATTTTTAAAGCAGGGAGGGCTGGTGACACTGAAGACCATGAGTGCCCAAACCAGGAGCTTTGCTTCATCTTGAGGTGATGGGGAGCAGTGGGCCTCTCCTATGTAGCCTGAGTCCAGCCACCTGTGCGGTCCAGCCTGGGGCCGGGGGGCAGCGAGTGACCTCCAGGTGCCTGGGAGCTGCTGAGCCAATTCCAGCTTATTGTGGTGAGGGGGTTGGGGGAGGCGTCCATCAGCCTTGAATGGGTTAAGCTGCTCGCCCTGCAGTCTGGACCTGAGCAATTGTGTTGCTGAACAAGGGCCGGACATGGGGGCAGGAAGCCGGAGGGGGCCATGCTTATTTTCTCCCGAAGCTGGATGACTCACAGCTCTCCTGCTGCCTCAGAAACGCAAGGTGAACACAGCGGCCACCAGCTTAGGGAAAATTTTGGGCCCCTCGCCCATGCTGGCTACATGGATCACTTCTACGCACCCCGTTGACAGCCTTGAAGCTAAAAGAATTCCCATTCGACACATGGGACCACAGAGACTGAGAGAGGCTGAGCGGCCAGGCCAAGGTCACACTATGAAGAGGAAGCAGGATATAAGTGAGGCTAGCTCCTTCTGACCCCACAGCCCTTACCACACTCCATAATCAAGCTCGGAGAGGGGAGAAGTCAGGGATGGTTGGACGTGACACTTCAAGCCATACAAGCAAGTACCTGGATGAGTCAGGAGCCCAATGACCTTAGTAAAGGAATGTTCTAGGAGATAGGTCCTGCCCTGAGGAACTTGGTTTCTGGCTGGAGAGATAATGAAAAGCCCGACCTAACACAGGTCCAAGCTGATGTTGCTGGGTGGAGAAATCCCAGAAGGCTTCCTAGAGGAAGAACAGGAGCCCCAGAGGATGCTAGGAGGTTCTGGGTCTACAGGTTGAGCCTCAGTCTTCTCATTTCTCTAGGGCAAGGGATGGAGCCATGGTCCCTGATTCGTTCGGAGACCTCCAGATTGTCTGTCTGGAGTCACGGCATAACAGATCCTGACAGGTGCAGAAGCCAGGAGGAGGAGGAGGAAGCAGGGCCTGTGGGGACAGGACAGGCCAAGCAGGCAGTAAATAAGAATTGTTTTTGAATCCTGTGAGTGAGGAGGGAAGCAGTGACAAGGCCAGAACTGGAGACCGAGGCAGGCTGACAGGGAGCAGTGGGGACACTGACCCATCAAGGTCAGGGCCTGGAGTTCATGCGGCTGGATGCTGAATGAAGTGGAGACAGACCCAGAACCTGCCTGGTCAGAGACACTCAGGCCAGGAGGCAGGGGACACAGCACAGACGGACATTCAGGCAGAGGGAACCTGTGCAAAAAGCCTGCTGGAGAGAAGAGCACTGTGCATTCCAGAAATGTCTGGTTCTCCTTGTGGCTGGAAGGGGCAGGGAGGCAGAGGAAAGGATGGCGCGAGTCGTAGGCAGGGCACACACTGGGCCCTCAACGCTGGCTCAGGAGATAGATTCATCCCGCAGGAGATGGGAAGCCAGGGAGAGGTCAGCAAAGGGGCAGCGTAGTCGGCTCATTTGAGTCGGAGTCAGAGTTGAGACAGGGGGCTGTTGGCAGATCAGGTCTGAGACCCACAGGAGCAGATCCTTGAGCCAAAGTGAGTTGCGAACCAGGAGAAAGTCCCAAGGGGCCAGGTGGTAGCTGTCCCACCCCCAAAACAACCCACCCCTAAGGCTCCCGGGGCCTCACCCTGCACACTCTCAGTGTCTATAGCTGCCAAGGCACAACTGTAAATGTTGGGATTTGAACAACTTGGGAATCCCTGAAGGAGTTTGGGGATCACTGTGCCTTGGACTGAGGTAGTGGGGTGGGAGGGCAGTGGGGAGAGCTGCCCAGGGCCACACAGGGAGGGAGGCTCAGCGCTTTCTTCTCTTGCAGACACACCTCCTGCATGCTCTGGGCCCGGCCCCTCACCCCTGACCCGGCCTCTGGGCTACAATCCAGAGGCTGCAGGAGGCTGGGCTGGGACTGAGCATCCAGCCCCCCCTCTGAAGCTTGGCCTGGGGCTGGGCTCAGCTGCCAGGGCTTGTCCCAGATGACTGCGGGTATGCTGAGTAGGAGCGGAGGGGCCAGCCCCACAGAGCAGACTCTCCAGAGCTGGAGTAGGCAGATGCCTGGGGACAGGGGTGTGTACTTGCACTTGCGTAGGCAGAGTTGAGGGTGTGGTGTGTCCGTGTGGCCTCAGGATATCGTGTTTGTATCCCTGACCTAGATGCCCCACCCCCAGAGGCCCTCCAGCCTGCTCAACAACCCCGCAAAGCCCAGACGTTGCCCCCGAAACCTCAGGTTTAAGCAGGACTCTGGTCTGGATGAGGAGCAGGGGGTCTGCCAGGTGGTCAAGGACAGAACCAAGCCAGAGGCATCTGCCAGGGCCACCCCACTGAGCAGCTCCCAGCTGAGTCCAGGCTTCTTAGGGTCAATCTAGCTACACACAGAGCAGCTCCAGCCCCTGCCCTCCCTTCTGTATCTCCTTAGAACCTCCTTTTAAAGAGCACAGAGCTGAGCGGATCTCACAGCCCCTTCAAGGCCAAACCCCAGGCCACCAAGAGAAAGAAAGCAAAGGGAGTTTTGCCTGATGTCCCACAGAGGGACAGAGGCGGAACTCACTCCTGGAGTGAGACCCTCAGACCCATCCAGGCCCTGCCCCTCTCGGACCCCTCACAGCATCCTACACTCCTCCATCAAAGCACACATCGCAATTCGAAACCTTTTTTTTTATCGAGTTGTTATTGTCATTCTCCCCGACCGGGATGCCATCTGTGTTTGCTCCCCGTGTATCGTTCATTACCTGCCACCTACCTGGTACTCGATCAATGTTTGTTGAGTGACCGTGTAACCCCAGGGCTCTAGGGAGGACTTCAGAGAAGTGATGGCATGTGAGCTGAATCTAGGTAGAGGAGAGAGAACGGCAGGTGCAAAGGCCGGGAGGATGTGACCGAGCTCGGCATCTAGGTTCTTACCTCAGTGGCCCCACTCGCTGAGGACAAAGACCCAGACCCGGGGGCTCTCCAAGGCCTGGACCACCCAGACGCAGGTGAGCCCAGCCATTCTCCGGATCCTCCAAGGCTCTTCTGCCTCTTCTTCTGGGCCTGTATCTGCTCACCAGGGACTCTGGGCTACACTCTGTCCTCTCATTTTGGCTCCACCCCAGACCTTCCCAGACTGACCAAGGGCACAGAAGGCCCAATCTCATCCACGAGTCCATTTGGAGCTGCCCCAAAAAGCCTCTAACATGGCCCCAGGGACAGGCATCGTCACAGATCCCGGACGACAGGGGCATGGACAGGCACCTGGCCTCTGCATGCACAGCATGCACACCTGAGCTGCCAAACGGAATCCCCTCTGCCCTCGAGGCGGCTGTCAGGCAAACTGCCAGGGCTATTCGGCCGGGAAGTTCTGAGCACAGAAAGCATTTCCAGAATCCTCTGATCCTCTGCACATTTGTCACACCCAACTCTACCCAGTAGCATTCTGAAAACTTGGTGAGAGCAACCAAGAGACCTGACTGCTAACTGAAGGATGGTAAAGGGCTGAAATAAGTCTGACCCAGCTGTAGCTCTGACAGCGCCTCTGGAGGTGCGGCCCCTGGAAATTCTGCTGCCTGCTGTGGGTGCACAAACCCTCTCGCCTGACTTCCTCTCCATCAGCAGGTGAAGGACGGACAATTGTTGGATAAAACCCTCCCCTCAGCCCGCATTTTGGTGGCCAAATTTCTAACACAAAAGGCGAAAGACACAAAAACGTGGCTTTTCAGATGGAAAGTCTCTCAGGTCCCGCTGAGATTGGATGTAAAAGGAACCCAGGATTTAGAAAAAGAAAGACCTGGGTGAGGGTTCCAGATCCACCACTTCTGAGCTGTCTGTCTTGAGCCTCCTCCTCTGCGAAATGGGGCTGATAATTCCTACCTCCTGAGGATGGTGTGGAAAGCGAATGTGATGGCATCTGTGAAAGCCCAGCATGGAGTTGACTGTTACTATTGTATGTGAATGTCACCACAGAGAGAGGGACATGATGCGAAAAGCACTATTTTGGGGGAAAGGCAGCCTAAGTTCAAATCCAGGCTCCGCCTCTTGCCCCTGTGACCCAGGACCATTTGCTCCATCTCTCTCATCTCTAAGCCTCACCTGCAAAATGAAACTATTGTGGTTTGCAAGGTTTAAATGAGATAGCGGTTTGCAAGGTTTAAATGAGATAATCTGTGCCCTGAGGAGGTGCTCAGGACTATCAGCCCTTTTCCACCGCTGTGGGCAAGAAAGGGCTGTGTTGGGGGGTCACTTGAGGGTCCAGCATGGAGGGACAAAGATGGGATTATGTGAGTCTCATCTCCCAAAGGCCCCCATATCCAGGGTCCTACCTTCTCACTAACTGCTCACTGGCAAAGAGAGCTGAGCAGGCAGACCTCCCCCTACCCACCCGGCAGGGACACACTGGTGTGGGGTGACGCTGTGGGGGCCAGTGCCAGTCCTGTGTGCCAAGGGGGTTCTTTACAGGACTCACAGCAGGGCCCCTGCTGGACACAGAATAGAATCTGAGGGGCTTTCCTGCCCACTCAGGGAATACTTTGTATGTGGGGGCAGCCAAAGCCCACTGAGGGGTTTAATGCCCCCTGTGAGCCATGTGGCCATAGCCTGTGACTGGTGGCCTTTGCTTATTTAAGTCCAGCATGGTTATATATTTGTTTGGCTGATGGCTGCTGTCAGGCCTGGGACCACAAGCCCATCCAAGCAGGCCTCGGAAAAGAGGAAGCCGTTCGTGCTCCTCTTCATGATGCCAAACAGGGTCCCCGGCAGTAAATAAGATTTACCCAGGGGGCTCAGACAGAGACTTGCGAAGGGAACACTTATAGAGTCGGGAGCTGGCTCAGGGAACGAGGGGTATGTTGAGGCGCATGGAGACCAACCCACAACAGGGGAAGCCCTTATCGCCCAGGGCCAAAGGCATAGAGCAGGGAAGGTTGCTTCCAGAACCCTGTGAGGGACAGGACCGTGGAGGGGCTGTCCAGCAGGAGCTGTCAGCATGGAGAGATGCAGCCACAGCAAGTGAAATGAACCAGCACAGAGAGAGTCCCATGGAAGAAATACCCAGCTTCTCTCCTCCCGTTCTCCCGTTCCTCAGAGCTCCTCCTGGAGCCCCTGTTGGCCAAACACCAGAAGCCAGGGCCAGGAAACCCAGAGGTTAGCCCCCGGACACAGAGTAGGGCTCAGGGGAGGTGGAGGGGAATGGGTCTGGCCGGTAAATCCCCCATCCCAGGGATGGGGTGTGAAGGAACAAGAATGGTAAGTAGACGACTTGGTGGAGAACCAGAGCGTCCGTAAGGATGCATACACATTTGGGTTCGTTTTTCGCTACTGTTGGTTGGCCATGTTGCAAATATTTTCTAATTCAGCCTGAAAACAGCCCTGAGAGGTAGATACTCGTGTTCTCACTATACTGATGATGGAATCAAGGGCCAGGAGGTGAAGCGTCCTATGTGCAGTCACGCAGCGACAAAGCAACGCCTCTGAGGTTCTGTGAACCACGGAGCCTGTGGTCATAGCTGTCACCCTGCACTGTGTGAGCCCCACTATACTGATGATGGAATGACGTGTGGCTGGGCCTTGATTAGGGAAGATACAGATGGGACGAGAAGGAAAGATCTTCCCCAAGAAGGAGAGAAAGCTGTGGTCTGAGATCTGCCTTCGGGCTTGGGCATCAGCCCTGTGACGGCCCCCAGCTGTGCGGCAGTGGAGGACGCCCAGGGATGCGTAGGGCTGTGAGACAAGGACCAGGGACAGTCCCCGGAGGAGGACGTTTGGGCTCAACTCTGAAGGACAAGTTCACCAGACGGAGAGGGGAAACCGGGACCCTGTCCTGGGCCACTTCTCTCCAGCTCCTCGCTTTCCTTACTGTTCCAGCCTCGCAGGTCAAACGCCATCCAGACACACTGACCATCTGCCAGCTGCTCCAGCCCCGCTTCCTCCCCCGGACACCAGGTGAGTCTCCAGCAGCTGTTGACCATGGCCACAGAGACCTTTAATAGGCAACTCCAACCTGACACGGGCCACGCAGAACTTTTGGTTTCCTCCCTACCAAACATGCCACAGCCTCGGTCTTCTAAACCTCAGTAAAGGCCCTCCTGTCCGCCAGCGGCTCAAACCGAAGGCTAAGAGCCGTCCGTCATTCTTCCCCATCCCTCGCCCGCTACCTCCCCTTCACCAGGGAGTCCTGCTAACTCTACCTCAAAAACATATGCCTTGTCCAGCCCCTCCTAAACCTGGCCGGGGCTACCATCAGCTCTCACCTAGATGGCAGTGACTGCCTTTTCCTGGTCACCCCTCGCCCAGCCAGCCCCCTTCCCACAGCCTACCTCACAATCAGACTGCATTAGTCACCTACGGCTGCTATAACAAACCACCCCAATCATGGTGGCCTGAAACAACACAAATTTGTTACCTTGGAAGTCAGAAGTCTGAAACAGGTCTCAGTGGGCTAAAGTCAGGGCTTCATTCTTTCTGGAGGGTCCAGGGGAGAATCCGTTTCCTTGCCTTTTCTGACTTCTAGAGGTTGCCCACGTCCCTTGGCCCGTGGTCTTGTATCACTCCAACCTCCGTTTCCGTTGTCACATCTTTTTCCTGATTCTGACTTTCTTGCCTTCATCTTTTAAAGACCCTTTATTATATTGGGTCCACCCACATAATTCAGGATAATCTCTCTATCTGGAGATCCTTAGCTTAATTATATCTGCTAAAAGTTCTTTTGACATGTATAAGTTCCAGGGTTGAGGACATGGACATCTTTGGAGGGGTCATCATGCGGCCTAACACAATAACCTGGCCACCTCTTCTTGTGCCCCACAATTCTCCATTATTCATTTCTACCTGATATGGGGACCTTCTTTTGGTTCTTTAAACACACTACCCATTTTTCTACCTCAGGGCCTTTGCACCTGCTCATCCTTCTGCCTAGAATTCCCTTCTCTACCCTGGCATTCCTAAGGCTGACACTCAGATGTTGGCTTAAGTGTCATCGCTCTGAGAGGCCTTCCCTGGCCTCTCCGTTTCAGCCAGCTGCCCCCTCAGTCTCTGTTGCAGCCCCCACTGTAATTCCCTGAGCACCTCTGATCTCTAACTGATGTTTTTCCTTGTTTACTTATTTTCCTGGTGTCCCACTATAGTGCGCACTGCCTGACGGCAGGTCTTATCTGTCTCGCCCACTGTTATACCCCAATGCCTAGCATGCGGCCCAGCGTACAGTAGGTGCTCACTACCCATCGGGCTCACACCCTGTCCTGCTCAGAGGCCTGAAAACTCTCTCTCCCCATTTCTCAGTTTCACTTCTATTTGTTTTACTTTTTCATTTTTAAGTCACTTCTCACTTGAGGAAGGAAGAAAAACTGTGACTTGAAGTTCCTTTCTGACCTAAGACGGAAATGACCCACTGGGCCTGGGCCCAGCGAGGCTGGGGCAGGGGTCATGCCTGCTGCCTCTCCTGAGTCAGGGCCAGCTCCCTGGCCAGGACTCCCAGCCACCTCACACCTCTGTTCACTGCCTGGAATGGCTGCCCTTTCCACATCCCATCTCAAAGGGCACCAGGTTGACCGCCTCATTTGTGACTGAGGAAAGCAAGACACGGAGCCAGGAGGGCCTCCCCCCAGGCACACGACACTTACATCCTGGGGCCTGCTTGTCCCACCCCAACCATAGAAGCCCTCTTCCTCCTGGGCCAGTGGCAGGGGCCGCACGTGGGGACCTTAGATGCTAAGATCAGCAGAGCCAGAGGCCAGGCTGGCCTGATGCAAACACCCTCAGCCCTCACTGAGGCCAGCCTGGCGCCAGTGTCTCAGAGGAAATGTTACTAGAGTTTGGAAACCTCCTGTGATAGGCAGAGTCCAGCCTCTCCCCCGGGGCCAGGGCGGGGGGTAGCCAGAGAAAGAAGCCTCCTACCCAGAACCCTGTGAGTCCTCTTCTCTCCAGGCAGGAACACTGGTCCCACTTCTACCCACCGCTCCTTCTCCTGAACCATCCTAGGGATCACAGGTCAGTGACACGGGAACCCAGCTGGGGCGGGCTGATGGGGTCAAGGCTGAGAGGACACAGTGATGGCCAAGGTCAGAGCTTCCACCCACCATGGGGCAGTGGGGAAAATCCCTCTTCCTGGAATTTAGGATGAAGCTAGGCACTCATTGATGGGTGACCCCAGATCCCAGTCCGGCTGATCCCACATCCTGAGGGCTGCCTTCAAGGGCATAAACTAGGCAATAGTACTTAAAAGGCCCCTATGCTTGGTTTCATGTTTTTCTGTTGTCTTCTTGAAATTTTTAATAACTTTTGAACACAGGACTGCACATTTAAATTTTGCACTGGGCCCTGAAAATGATGAAGCTGGTCTTGTGAGCCCAGCCTCTCAAACCCCACCCCGCCTCAACCCTCCTCTTGTTAACAGCTCCTAGGCTGAACATCTCCCACGAGTTCTGGGCTGAGGCCTGACTCTCGGGGTTAGGACATTTGGGTTTCCTAAGAGCCCTCTGGAGATGGCATCAAAGCAATACTGCTCTCTAGGAGCTGTGGGGCTGGCCAGCGGACGGGTTTATTTAGAAGAGCCTTTAAATCCCATGTCACAGTAGCTGCTGGTCTAAGAGAGAACAGTAGGAAAAAAGCATGAACTTTTGGACCAAACGGACTTGGTTCAAATACCATCACTGCTGCTCACACCCTGAGCAACCTCAGAAACGTCACTACACCTTTCTGCTCCTCAGCTTATCTGTAAAATGAAGGTCACAATTATACCCACCTAGAGGGTTACTGGGAGGATTAAAATGAGATTACATAAGTACTTGGAACAGTGTCAAGCACATAGTAAGTGCTCAACACGTTAGCTGTTGAGGTCAGACACTTGGGATCTGTTGTCAGCCCCACCGCTTGCTCCTAGGGGAACTTATGTCACTTTTCTCACGTGTACAATGAGGATAACTGGGTACCCACCGCCCAGGGCTTCGGGAGCTGCCGTCAGCGTCAGCATCACCCTCTCGTCTAGGAAACTTTCCTGACAGGCCTCCTCTGGGCTCCCCTGTCCCCTGTGCTTACTTCCACACTAGCACATGTGACACTTACGTAGGAATTGCTTCTGTCTGTCGTCCCCTCCGAGACTGGGGGCAGGAACAGAGTCTGGCTCTGCTGGTATCAGCAGGTGAAGGATGAAGGCGTGAACAGATAACGGAGAGTTCGGTTGTCTCTCAGGGCCAGTCACTCCCCAGGGTAGTGACCGATATGTTCTGATGGTGTCTCCTCTCTTTTCCCAGATCTGTGCCTCCTGGGAAGATGCACTGGCTCCTGATGCTGCTGGCTACAGTGGGTACTTGCCCAGACCTGCTGGTGGCAACGGCCACGAGCGCTAACCCTGCCCAGCTGGACACTCTCAGTGTGCTACCCGCCCTCCGACGCCAGAAGAGAGACTGGATTTGGAACCAGATGCACATTGATGAAGAGAAAAACTCCTCGCTGCCGCATTATGTGGGCAAGGTAAGGCTTAGGCCCAAAGCAGTGGAGGCCTCTGCAGCAGGCCACCCACAGTGATGATGGTGGTGGGGAAGGTGGTGACAGATGTGGTGGTGGTTGTAGGGGTGGGGACAATGGTCGTGAGGGTGATATTAATGGTGATAGAGATGATGGAGGTGGTACAAGAGGTGGTGGTGGTCATGGTAACGAAGGGAAAGGTAACGTGTTGATGATGGCGATGATGATGGCGATGATGATGATGGCGGTGGTGATGAGGAGGAGGACGAGGAAGGCAGTAGTGGTCGTGACAATGGTGACGAGAAAGGAGAGGGTGGCCGTGTGGTGACAGGGATCGCGGAGGTGGTGGTGGTGATGATAATGGTGGTCGTGATGGGGACGAGGAGGGTCACGGTGGTGGTGGTGATGATGGGTGCCATGGTTCATTTTCTCCCAGACCTGGGTCTGTGGACAAAATATCCCTGGTAGAAGCGCCACCCCATGCACAGGCTGAGGACAGCAGACTGGCCTGGGGGTTCAGGGCTTAGGGCAGCTGTTAAATTTTCCAATCTTATAGGTTTGAAAAACCTGAGCAGCCTTCTACAAAACTATGCCGGTGATAAAGCTCATCATCCAGGCCACAGTTGCCAACCCTGGTCTAGGCCTTTGAACCTTTTCAAAAGATCCTTTCTCTCAGACTAGCCCTACCTAGTTTTCTGTCATCCCACATAACTCCCCAGACTCTAGCACAGCCACAAGGTGCCTGACACAAGCCTGCCCTCCAAGGCTCCAAGCCCCACTTCCTTCCCCTTTAATACAACCTGTTCATCCCCAGTCACCTTCCTAGAACTTGGAACTAATGTGAGTGACAGCTGAACTGTCTTAGTGTGTGAAATTGTTATTGACGCCCAAACTATCCATTATAATTCAAAAGAATGGCTCTAGTGGTGGAATGTCACACACGCAATGACAGGTAGATGAACTAGGTATCTTGAGAGCTCTTAGTAACGAAAAAAATTTCTTTCACGTACATAAAATCTCATCACATCAGTTTCTAGGAAACTAAACGTGGTCGACTGAACAAAGACTAGATCAGTGTGCTGGTGAGAGGAAGTACGGTGCCAAGCACGCAGGAAGCGAGGCGCTGGGAAGACCGCAGGGGGCAGACAGAATGGCCCCCACCCTCACGGAGCTTGTGGTCTAAAACAGGAGCTGGCAGAACCGGTCCACCACCTGGTTTTGCAAATAAAGTTTTACTGGAAGAGACATGCCCATGCTGGTTGCTTTCATGCTACAACAGCAGATTTGAGTAGCTGTGACAAAGACCATATGATCAACAAAGTTGAAAATATTTACTATCTGGCCCTTTAAATAAACAGTTTGTCAGCCCTGGTCTAGAAGGATAGCGTACTTCAGACAACGAACCCCACAAACAGCGGTGATAGGAGAGCCCTATGGTCACAGAGAAACAGACCAGCGAGGACCCTTTGATAGGACAGGGTCCAGCAGGCCTCGAACCAGAAACGCCACTGCAGCTGGGGGACTTGCACTCACAGACCCACTCACAGCCACCTGACTATGCCCACAAACTCCTCCTGCTCCCAAGAATGACAGGAAACTTTAAATCCTTCAGTATGGCCAATCAGGTGGAAAAGACACATGCCCAGGGTCACACAGTGAGGCCAGGACAGAGCCTTAGGAGAACAGGAAAGCATAGGGTTCCTGATTCTCAGCACAAATATGAACTCTATGTCATAGAGGAAAATGTTGTCAACCTACTCACGTCCTTCCCAGTATGATTACTGTGCAATGAATCAGCCACTGAAAAAAATGGCTGGCCCCAAGGAAAATCTAACAGGTGAGTCATAGGGAATAAGCAGAACGCGGGGGCCACCTGCAACACGCACAGCCTGACATAGCAACCTTTGAAGGGCTCACCCAAGGGTCTTTAAGCAGCAGGGCCTGTCTTCATCTGCCAACAGTATTCACTTGGTACCTAGCACGGGGCCTGGGAGAGTGGAGCCATATGCTCCCCCCACCCCGGATAGAAACAAGGATGCCTGGGAGAGGCATGGACAGCGTTCTAAGTATTACCTCCTAGCTCCAAAGACGTCATCTGAGGGAAGGAAGTCCCTGTTTATCAAGGCCAGAGCCTGCAGCCTTTGTTTACAGAGTGGATTGGACAATGGGAATGAACTCTGAGCTGCCTTCTGAATCCACGAGTATGGGTCAGCATGGCTTTGAGCATAAAGACGTAATATCCTAATATCATTTTTTAAAAGGAGGGCTCCCCAAAACCTATAGCCCCAGTCTAAGAGAAAAATATCAGAAAAATTCCAATAGAGGGGCATCCTACAAAAAAACCTAACTAGCACATCTCAAAACTGTCAAAATCATCCAAAACAGTGAAAGTCTGAGAAACTGTCACAGCTGAGAGGAGCTTGAAGAAACATGATGACTAGATGTAACGTGATGTCCTGGATAGGATCCAAGGAACAAAAAAGTGGTCATTGAGTAAAAACTAAAAAAAAAAAAAAAAATCGGCATAAACTATGGACTTTCGTCAACAATAATGTATTCATATTGGTCCATTAATGAAAACAAACGTACCAGACTAACGTAAGATGTTCATAAGGGAAACTGGAAACAGGAAGTATAAGAACTCTCTATACTATCTTCTCAATTTTTCTATAAATCTAAAACTATTCTAAAAAATAAAATCTAAGAAAAGTTGGAAGGAAAAGATAAACGTATTCAAATAAAATCTTACACAGAATTCCAATAAAATCAAAGCTGACTCACTCCCCACTCACTCCCCTTGCCCAGGTGGGTCCCAACACACCCACCCAGAACCACCCCCTGATGCTGCTCCCACAAAGGGCTCCAGTGACTCTATGCTGCTAAACCCTAGGGACATTCCCAGACCTTGTGGGATGTGACCACACCCTTAGATGCTCCCTCCTCTGTCTTGAGACCCACTCTTTCTCGGCCAATAGACATGAGAAGATGCTCAACATCACTAATCATCAGGGAAATGCAAATTGAAACCACAATGAGATATCGCTTCACGCCTATCAGAATGGCTATTATCGAAAAGAAAACAAGTACTAAATGTTGGGGAGAATGTGGAGAAAAGAGAACCCTCATGCGCCGTTGGTGGGAATGTAAATCTGTGCATCCACTATGGAAAACAGTATAGAACTACCACATGACCCAGCAATTCCACTTCAGGTATTTTTCCAAAGAAATCCAAAACACTAATTCAGAAAGACATATGCATACCTATGTTCGCTGCAGCATTATTTACAATAGCCAAGATATAGAAACAACCTAAATATCCATCAATAAACAAATGAATAAAGAATACATGGAAATATATATATATATATATATATACACATAACATATATATGTATATAAGATATTATTCAGCAATAAAAAAGAATGAAATCTTGCCATTTTTAACAATATAGATGGCCCCAGAGATTATCATGCTAAGTGAAATAAGTCAGATAAAGACAAATACTATGTGATTTCACTTACATGTGGAATCTAAAAAAAAAGCAAAAAACAGAAACAAACTCATAGATACAGAGAACTGAGGGTTGCTAGAGGGGAGGACAGCGAGTGGATGGGCAAAAAGGGTGAAGGGGAAGAAGAGAGACAAACCTCTGGTTATAAATGAATAAGTCATGAGGATGTAATGCACAGCACAGGAAAAAGAGTCAACGTTATGGTAATAACTCTGTATGGTGACAGATAATTACTAGACTTATCATGAGAATTACATTGTAAGGAATATAAATGTCAAAGCATTGTGTTTATACCCAAAATGAATATGATACTGTATGTCAGTTTGAGTTTTTTAAAAACTGCAATGTCACATTCCTGGCCAGCACCACACACACATACATATACATGTGCACAAACACATACATACGCATGTGCACAAACACACATGTGTGTACATAGACGTAGCTACACACATGTACTTGCACACTCACATGTGCACGCACACTCACACATGCACGCAGCCTACCAATGCCCATTCTCAGCTCACAGCACCTCTTCTCTCTTAGATCAAATCGAGTGTAAACCGCAAGAACGCCAAGTACGTGCTCAAAGGAGAGTCTGCGGACAAGGTCTTCCGGGTCAATGAGGACACAGGGGACGTGTATGCCTTTGAGAGGCTGGACAGGGAGAAGATCTCCGAGTACCACCTTGTTGCCCTTATAGTGGACAAGGACACCAAGAAGAACCTGGAATCTCCTTCCAGCTTTACCATCAAAGTTCACGATGTGAATGACAACTGGCCTGTGTTCACGCACCGGTTTTTCAATGCATCTGTGCCAGAGATGTCGGCTGTGGGTACGTGCCCAGTCTGTCCCTCTGCCCCCTCCCACTCTCCCTCATCCCCAGCTGAATGCCCCTCTCCATCAGCAACTTCACTGCCTGGGCCAGGATTCGGTGAGTTCCGAGCAGTGATTGTAATGCCCATATCACCATTTTATATGGCTTGAAAGAAACTGCTTCACAGACTAAGCTCTGACGTGGCCCCAGACTGAGCCCTGATTCTGATCATAAACTGAGCCTTACCCATCAGAGACACGTGCATGTCTGATGACTCTTTAAAGCAAACCCCACTCGCTGCTCTGTCAGGACTGGCACACCAAGAGCATAGCTTTTGCACAGGAAGATGCCAATTCTGTCACAAAGGCACAAAGAGTCATCTCTATGATCCATGCAGGGGTAGCAGGGGAGGACTAGAGCCCTCACCCCACGGTGTGTCACCAGGCTGGACCCCAGGCTTCCAGAGGTTACTCTTCCTTCCTCAGTTCTACCCTCAGTCTCTAGGAGGTGCCAGCAAAGGGTTCCCTTCCTCGCCCCTCAGTCCAGGGTCCCTGGCCAAGACTCTGGGACCAGGTACGAGGCTCCTTGGAGCGTACCTTCTCATTCCCTTGTTTTTGCCCTTCCAGGAGAGGAAAGAAGAAGCCCCTCACCCTCCTCGGTTTCTCCGCATGACCCAACTACTCACCCCTCTCTCATTTCCCCAATAAATGAAAACGGCCTGTTCTCTCTGCCTGCTTCAAGGCTGACCAGGCTGAGCCTCCTCCCCTGCCAACACTTTGCCCTCATGCAAGGCTCCTCAGAAAACAGAACAGGACCTGGGGGAGGTGGATTCAGGGAACAGCCTGAGCCCCATCTTCCCTCATCTGGAAGTGGGGTGAGGGACCAACAGTCACAAGGCAGCAACCCCTGGATTCTCTCTCTGCAGAGACCTCAGTCATCCATCTGACGGCAGTGGATGCAGATGACCCCACTGTGGCAGACCACGCCTCTGTCATGTACCACGTCCTGAGAGGAGATGAACATTTTGCCATCGATAATTCTGGTCTGTGTGATTAACCTTTCTGGGCAGGCCGAGGGATGGGGTGGGTATCCCAGGCACAGGTGCTGAGGGAAGTCCAGCTGGACCGTTATCACTGACCACTGAACCACACTGTCCCATGGAGACGGTCAGTCTCACACAGTAAGACAAGGTGGCTGGTGAGGGCAGAAGGAAGCAGACATGTGCTCACAACTTAGATTTCAGTCCAGGAAATGAAATCAGGACCCAAGCAGTGATGCAAGAGGCAAAAGTAGGTGCTGGTTAGCAGCTCTGGGGATGGATTCAGACAGATCTGGTTTCCAAAGCCAGCTCTGCCACTCACCCTCTCTAAGACCTCAGGCAAGTCAACTAACCTTTGTAAGCCTTAGTTCCCTCATCCAAAAGTGGGAACATTTATATTCACCCTGCATGGTAGCGATGAAGTTTGAATTAGAAAATGTATGGAGAGCGCATGGCACATAGTAATTGTCTATTCAGCGTGACTTTAAAAACTGTGAGGACTGTCTTGGGAGCAAAACAGAAGTCCAACTGGCCAGACTTGGGGCACACTGTTCTTCAAAGGGCTGGCAAATTCACAACACAGACACTACCACACCCTGCGAGGCACCAAGGCAGCTCACTAATCCATCACAGCACCCTTTCCTCTCTGAGCCCGAAGGTGGCCTCAGGCTCTTTATGGACACTATGCTCCAGGTACTAGGGCCAATATTGAACCAAACTGTTTGGGCGGCTTTGGCCTCTCAGTGCAGGGCACGGAGGCAGCGGGCGCTGACCCGTTCTCAGCCCTGGCTGGACGGCAGAATCACCTGGGGAGGTTTTGAGTCAGATGCTCTCTGGGGAGAGCCAGGCATTGGTATTTTCTACACGCTCTCCAGGTAACATGGCTCCTGTTGGGATACTTTTTGTAGGGCTCATTTTCACAACGACCAAAAACTTGGACCGAGAGGTGCAGGCCAGGTATGAGATCGTGGTGGAAGCACGAGATGCCCAGGGCCTCCGGGGGGAATCCAGCACAGCCACCGTGCTGGTCACTCTGCAGGACATCAACGACAACTTCCCCATCTTCACTCAGAGTGAGTCCCTCCCCTAGGGCCTTGGGGAGGGTGAGACTTGGGATGCTCCAGACTCAGTGACCTGGGGACTCGTAGAGGGGAGCCCAGAGTCCCTCTACTTCTCCCCCAATCCCAGGGTGGGCCTAAGGCCCAGGGAAGTCATTTTTGTGCAGGGAGGGGCCCTGTTCCCCATCCCTGCCCACATTCCCAAGGCTGTCCCACTGCCTACTGTCACAGGGCCCTGACCCCACCCACAGACTGATAATCCCCTTCAAAGAAAAAGTCTCACGAGAGCTTTTCACATGTCCTGGGCGGAAGTCAGATATGGCTGATGACTTGCACCCTCCAATGCTGAGGCATAATTCAAAGGCTCAGCTCCCCAAAGGACAGGCCAGTTTTCCTGAAGAGGCCTGACTGTGTATGGCACAGGCTCCTTGAAGGCAGTACTTGTCTCTCTTGTCAAATGATAGGTCCCTTAACAAAGTGCCTGGCATAGGGTAGGTGCTCAATAACTACTTGTTAGATGGATGGAGGGATGGAAGGACCGATAGAGCAGAACCTCTTTGCCTTGGGATCCAAAATTCCAGTGGCATTATTATTGCTATTATTATTTCATCCTGTCCCTTTCCCGTATCAGATGTATTAGGAAAGTAAGAGGGACACTCACCTTGTCTATCTTATTAACCCAATGCCCTTTGGGACATCCTATTTGCATCAGCCAAGTACACATTTGTGGTACCCGAAGACATCCGTGTGGGCAGCCCCCTGGGCTCTCTGTTTGTTGAGGACCCAGATGAGCCCCAGAACCGGATGACCAAGTACAGCATCGTGCAGGGCGAGTACAGGGACACCTTCACCATCGAGACAGACCCCACGCGCAATGAGGGCATCATCAAGCCCATGAAGGTGGGTAGGATTGGGGCAATGACCTCAGATGTGGGGTTGGGGGCTCCCAGCATCCCCAGGACTTGCCCAGGGGCTGCTCCCATGTCAGAGGCCATCAGAGGTGCATGCCTGGGTCAGCTCAGAGCTGGGCATGTGCTCATGGAGACTGTGACCCCGGAGCTGGGACAGGGGAGCCAGGGGGGAAGAGTCGGTGCCTTCGGCTGGGTTACTCCCAAAGCAGATCTTGAGGCAAGGATTTAGATGCAAACAGTTTATTTGAGAGGGGATCCCAGGAAGCCCCAGGAGCAGTGACACGTAAAAAAGAGGAAGCTAATACCGGGCTCCTTGGTGAGGAGGTTTTCACCGTGGGCAATGAAGGCCCAGCCCCAGTCAGGGCATCTAGAAAGAGCTGCCTCAGAGTTGCAGCGCGGGGGGAGCTGTGGGGTGGACTGAGGGCTGCTCCTGGCAGCATCCATCCTGCCCTGGGCACCAGCCACTAGCGTCCTGGTAGAGTTACAGGTGCTTGTGGCAGAAAGCCATTAGCACATAAGGCGACAGTGAGTGCTGTGGGGATGTGGGTGGACACTGGCAGTGGCTGAGTCAGACCAAGTGAATCTGGAAGAGGATGGAAGGTCCTGCCAGGAGCACAAAATGCCTCCAGAATGGCCACACAGAGGGGTCCAGGGCCAGGGACAACCCACCTCCAATGGGACACTCCAAACCCCTCTGCCCATGCCAGACCTCCAGCTGACTCCTGGGTCTGTCTCTGGCCCAGCCTTGCGCTGGGGACGGGAAACACCCAGGAGAGTCAGACAGCCTCCATGGTACCAAAACTGTCAGCAAGCAGGGAAGGCATGCAAAGAAAAAAAAGGTATATGGGTGTAAATGCTATAGCAACCCATGCGCGGACAACTTCCTGTGTCGGGAAGGACAGGGACGGGTTCTGAGAGAACATCTGATACTTTCAGATCGGCTTCTTGAGGGCTAAGTAGGAGTGTACTAAGTGGGCAAGGACAGAAGCAAAGAAAAGGCTCATCCTTAAGGAGCTGCGACTAGAACTGCTAGTCGTTGATCCCCTTCAGAGCAGAAATGGGGTTGATCGCTGTGTGTCCCCAGTATTTGGATCAGAGCCGGGTACAGAGCGAGGCTTGTAGGTACAGCATAAGGCAGCTGAGATGCAATGGGGTGCAGGTGAAGACAGCCAGGCCCAGCCACTCTCTTAATGACCTTGAAAATATCACTCCTCCAGGCCTCAGGCCCCTTATCTGTAAAATGGGTATCATTCCAATACTACCTCACAGAGTTGCTGTGAAGGTCGTGTGCCATGTGCTTGGCTCAGAGCAGGTGTCCACCATACTTTTCCCTCACACAGCCCCTGGACTTTGAACGCATCCAGCAATACAGCTTCACCATTGAGGCCACGGACCCCACCATCAACCTCCGCTACCCGAGCGCCACCACCAGAAACAGGGCCCGTGTCATCATCAACATCCTCGATGTGGATGAGCCCCCAGTCTTCCAGCAGCCCTTCTACCACTTCCAACTGCAGGAGAACCTAAAGAAACCTCTGATTGGCTCAGTGTCGGCCGTGGACCCCGACGCTGCTCAGCGGACCATTGGGTAAGGCGGGTGTGAGCATGGTGATCCTGATAATCCCGGCACTGAGGTTCTTCCACCTGCTGGACTGAGACCAGGGCTCAAAAGGGAAACTCAGTTCTCCCCACGTGCATGTGTTCATTTCACACAAAGAAACAACACAGAGATTGATAAGCGGCGGTAACCCCCGCTCCCAGGTAACTCATGTTCATCAAACCCAAGTTTGATGCGGTCCAATCATGCCTTTCTTCATGACCACACAAACATCTAAATACATTTATGGTGGATCTATTGCTGGTTTGGTTTTGCTTTTGTTTTTAAAATGTTTTATGTCATACCATGCCCATTTCAACACTACTAGTTCTTCTATGTCAACTACACTCCACTCCTCTACTCTCTGAGACAAAAGATATAGTTCTAACTCATACTTTCTAGAGCCACATAACATTTATAGTAAGTATGAACTTAATCTAACCTCATTTTATTCCTGAAGATAGCCAATTGTGCCAACACTGTTTATTAAATGGTCATCATTTTCCCATCTTTGTTAGATACTAAGTTCCTGAATATATACCCAAATATATTTCTGAATCCCTTATTCTATCTACTGTTCTGTGGCTAATATGTTCTGTTTTATTGTAGCAGCTTCATACTAAAACTTAGCATATATAAGGCAAGCCCCTCCCTCGCTGTTTTTTTTACTTTACATAATTTTTATGCACTCTCAAACATTCTTTCATATGAATTTTAAAATTCTTTATTCAGTTTTTTTTTTTTAACATTAGAATTCTAATGAGAATTGTATTTACACATCAATTTTGGAAGAGTTAATGTTTCTATGTTATCAGGTCTTATTACCGACAAAATATGTCCCTCCATTCTGGCCATATAACTTTTGTGGCTACTGTTTTCATGGACATTTTATTCTAAATAGGCTGTAATAATCATTTTTATTTCCTCATTGATACAAAGGTTTATTTAAAAGATGGATTTCTTTTCTTTCATTTACAAGTGTTGGATATTTTGTATTTTTGCTTTTACTTGTTATGTGATGGAACACATTTGTATTTGTGTTCATTTACTTCCTAAAATTTCAAAGCTTTTGCTTTATGTATTTTAATGTTTCGATTTCATTAACAAAGATTTATAACCATTTTACCCTCATTACAGCTTGTAACTTTTATCCTTATGAAAATACCCAATTTGTTCTGCTTAAACGTTTTGCCTTCAGTTCCCCATGGCCTGATGTTGTCACTCCCATTTTCATGTTACCCATGTTGCCTGATAAAAATTTTCCAACCTTTACTTTTAACTTTTCTAGGTCATTTGGCTTAAAGTTGTCTATTGAAAATAGAATGTAGTTGGCTTTGCTTTTAAATCTAAACTGAGATGCTTCGTGTTTAACCTATTTACATTTTTCATCATAAATGATATATTTTATTTTACTTCTTTTATCTTGTTTTACATTTCCCATTTCTCAAACAATGTTTTTTTTCTTTTCTCACCATCTATTTTTTTTCATTTTTTTCTTCTAGATATTTGGATGGAGTACATTCATTTTTACTTTTACCAATGAGATTTACTTTCATCTTTAAAATTACAAACATTTTCCTGGACCTGTATTTTCTAGCTAAAAATACCACACACACGCACACACGCACACACGCGCGCGCGCGCCACTGCTTTCCTATGTATATTAAATAAATCAATATTTTCATTTTAATTCCTCTTAAATCAAGTTTTTACTTTATACTGAGACATTTCCTAGATGTTTTTGAAAATTTTTTCAGGACCCATCTTTGTGGGTGACACACTTTCTGATTTCTTGCATATTTACAAATACCTTTGCTCTTTTGCTTTCTTACATTAATAACACTTAGATGTGCTTATATAATCCTCAGGTTACAGAAACTTCCCTCCAAAAATACTATCAATGTGTTCTAGCATTTAATTTTGTGGGGAATTTATGGGGTGAGTCTGACTTCTCTTTATAAAAATGCTTTTTTTTCTGTTTAGATTCTTTTTAGTTTCTTTATATAGTCTTAAAATTCAAAAATGTCATCAGGATATATCTAAATACTGATCTCTTTTTAAAATTATGCCTAAAATCAGTGAGCTCTTTTATTCTGTGGATGGGCCTTTCTTCAGATCAGGACAGTTTTCTTTTATTACACTTTTTATTATTTCTTCTGTTCTATTTGTCCTGGAATTTTCTTAAGTAGTAGTAAGTATATATTTGACATACGTTACAATTATATCTTTTCTTTTCTCCATCTCATTGTTCTTGATTTCTGGAAGAAACTTTCAAATTTTTAATTCACAAATTTAATTTTATTTCACTCACTTCTTATCTATTCCAGCTCCTTTTTTATTTCTTCCTGGCTCATGCCCAACTATCTTTTCATTAATCACAAAAACCAATCCCAGCCGTGGTACAGTTGATTATAGTGCCACCTGCCTCACTCCTGAAAGTGTTATTGATAGAACCTCAGGCCCACCCTCAGTCCAGTGATGGCAACATTGCTAAAATAGAAGGGATTATCTTGCTACTCTGAATCCCTCTGGGTGGTAGTGTGAAAAGGATGAAGGATGCAAAGGACAGATCCTGAAGGACCTCACCTTTCATGCTGGGAGTCTGAACTTGGCAAAGGACAGTGGAAAGCCATAAATCTCTCTCCTCTCGACAGATACTCCATTCGCAGGACCAGTGACAAGGGCCAGTTCTTCCAAGTAACCAAGCAAGGGAACATTTACAATGAGAAAGAACTGGACAGAGAACTCTACCCCTGGTATAACCTGACTGTGGAGGCCAAAGAACTGGATTCTAATGGTGAGTGGCTCCATCTGCCAGGGGACTGGGCTTTTCTCCCTTCCCTCATTCTTTCAAAATTGGCATAATCTGTCATTGTGAGTCTAGAGATATTATAAGCTCCGGCTGAAGCACCACTTAGCTGGGATGCTGTAGAGCCTCTATCCTCAAGTGTGGATGGACCAGCAGCAACCATATCCCCTGAGACCTTGTTAGAAGGGCAGAATACTGGGTTCTGGCCCCATACTGAATCAGAATTCCATGCATATTACAGTTTAAGAAGCATCGTTAACAAATAGGCTGCCAGATGTCCCTGTGATAAGAATCACCTAGGGAACTTCTTAACATAGAGCTTCTCAGACCCATTCCCAGAGGTTCTGGTCCAGTGAGCCAGAAATAGGGCCAAGAAAACTGTATTGAAGAAGGGCTACATGATCCTTATTATTGTGGACACTTGGAAAAGGCTGCTTTGGGGACTGTTTATGTTGCAGTTAGTGGACTGAATTCAAAATGTACAGCAGCTTCAAACTCCAAGATTGTCAGGCTCTTCATAAATTAGTGTAACTTGTGCCAGAGGGAAAGGCAAGTATTGGAGTTTTACACCCTTTGCCTACATGAGAAAATCACAACTGCCCTCCAGGGGAGAGATTAACAGTCCCACCTTACCCAGGAGACCCCACCGGCCCAGAGACAGAGCGACCTGGCCAAGGCCCCGCAGCACCACCCTAGAGGGCCCCTGCCTCCTACTGGGTGTCCCCAAACTCCCATGTCTCCCAACATGGCAGCCAGGCCAACTTCAATGGACTCCTCTAAGTATTTTCCAGATCAATCTTTGCCCTTTTCTTTCCCATCTAATATCATTCACACAGTTTTTAAATTTTAAAAGTAATAATTTGTTACTCATTTTAAAATATGGAAAATACAGAAAAAAAGAAAATTATCCCCCCCCATAATCCCACCATACTGTTAGTACTTTAGTGTATCTTCCCTACCTTTTTTCCATATATACTTTTATACAAGTTTATAATATTTGTATAAAATCATATCCTGAATTTTTACTTAAATTTATTCCAGAACCATTTTCTCATGGTACTAAAACATACTAAAAAAAAAATCTTAAAATTGTTTAATTACATTTTTAAATGTAATTTACGTAGACATTATAAATGGCCACATATTCCCTTCTTTTAAAGTGACATAACATATTAACCCAGTCTCACTTAGGCGGTTTGCTTTTTAAATTATTTTGTAATTAATTTATTTAATAAATCATATCTATTTCAATTAAGTCAAATAATTATATCATTAATTTAATAATTTACTTAAATTGCTTAATCCAATTAATTTAATTAGAATTTTTTTTTTAATTCACTTAGGTTGTTCACCTTTTTATTCTTACAAATACTTCTTTAGTAAGTTTGACTCTCTTCTACTCCTTTCATCCAGAACAGCATCCCTGGCCTCTCTTCTAGAGGTCCATAACCCCCTCTTCCTGCAAAATAGGTACCCTTCCAGGGTTCCCCATCCACACACCTTCTACCCCCCAGGGCTGGCATCAGCTGAGCCCACTGTGGTGACAAGTCCTTTACTCCTGCAGGGAATCCCACAGGCAAAGAATCCATTGTGCAGGTGCACGTCGAAATTCTGGATGAGAATGACAATGCCCCAGAGTTTGCCCAGCCCTACAATCCCAAAGTGTGTGAGAATGCTGCCCAGGGCAAGGTGAGTCTGGCTCAGGTGGGAGGGCAAGGCAGCACCCATCTGGCACAGGCTGTGGGACACCACCTCCCATCCGTCACCTGGCATTTCACTGAGCCTAATGTAACTTGCACAACAACCTTGAGGAAAGGTGACCTTATTCCCACTTTATAGACAGAGAAACTGAGGCTCAAAGAAAATATATGTAGAACAGATTGCCAGGGAAGGGGCTGGTACAAAGAGTGGCTTTGTGGAGATTATCTAGGTTAGCATTGCAGGTGAGTGGCAGCCACGGTTAGGTCTAAACCCAAAATCTCCATCACTGAACCCCAGACCATCCCAATACCACAACTGACCATCCTCCATCTTCCACACTCCAGCTGGTCGTACAAATCTCGGCAACAGACAAGGACATAACACCAAGAAACGTGAAGTTCAAATTCTCCCTGAGCACTGAAGACAGCAACTTCACCCTCATGGATAATCACGGTGCGCATCAAAGCAGTCAGCCTGGTTCCAAGCCGGGTCGGGGAGGGGGTTATGTGAGTCTTGAAACACCGGGGTCAAGGACCAAGTCAATGAATTGGGGCAGGCCCTCACTGGGCTTTTCGCGTTACAGAATATTTTGTACAACTCCCGCCACATGATCTTATTGGTCTGCAGAGGTCAGAGCCAATCTGGCCAAACTGCCAAGTGCATATGGTCTGCCATTCCCCATAAGACGCTAAGTCAGCAAGGCACACGGAATAGATATGGGGTGCAGACTGTCAGCTCCGTTCACGAACTAGCCAAGGAATTCCTTTCCACCTGAGATCTCTGTGCTCAACACAACTACAAATCGCTCCGTGGCACGGAACTTTGAGGTTACTCCCAAAGAGTCAAAACCAGAAATGTGAAATCTGAAATGCCGATGATACAGAAAACTTTGTCTTAATTCAGTGATAACAACAACTTACCACCAGGTGGCCCAGGACAGGATCTGGTCTGCCGGTCTCAGCCCAGTCCTGTGATGTCAGTAGTGGCGAATCAGAGCTTCCGATGAGTACGTGCTTAGGACAGTGATGATGTTGAGCTGATTAAATTCCAGCCAACGGGCTCAAAGACAGGCTTTCATGGCTTCAGCAACTTCCTCAAGAAAATAGAAAAAAAAAAAGGCCCCTTCAGTCAGTCTAAAGAGAGCAATCGTTCAGCCAGCACGGGGTAGAATCCCTGCCCATCCCCGGCCAGCAAAACTGTGATTGAGGAGGGTCCCTGTATAGAGACAGCCATTGCCACGGTTGAGGAAAGTCAGCGAGTTGGGGCAAGGTGGCCGTGATGTGTTGACAGTCAGTGACAGACCATTCAACATTCAGCTGTCGTTAGCAGTAAGCAACGTGGCAAAAAAATACCTGCAACCAAATCCCCAAGGTGCATCTCAATCCCACCTCAGAGAGGGTCCGCGAAGGGGTGGAAAGCTTAAGTGCCACCCCAAAGACATCCCATGTGTGACCAGGAGGCACACCTGTTGGTCTCAATTCACTTATAATAGGAATGTCCTGTTACAGTATTAAATGAGTATAATGAGAAATTTCAATTCTCCCATAAAGCGTCAATGACCATATCGGTTATTCTCAATTATAATAGACATGGCTACTTAATAATGAAATGCCACTGCCTTACATCTGAAATCTAAAAGATGACCACCTTTGCTCTTGGCTGGCTTCCTGAGTGGGCAGACCCTGCTGGTTGGTCAAACCCGCCCCTTCCAAATCCTGGAACGGGGCGTTCCTGGACTTTCCCCTGACCATCAGCACCACAACCTCCTAGGGAGCCTACAAAAGACAGAGTATCTGGCCTCTGCCCAAAGCCACTGAGTCAGAAATGGGGAGGAAGGGAGAGAGGAAGCGAGAATTTGCGGGAGGCGGGGGAGAGGAAGGGGAGTCTGAAAATCAACAGGTTTTACAAGTTTCCTGGGGAATTCTCTTGTATATGAAAGCACTGATCGGAGCTGAGGGGGAGAGCCAATATTTGGGCCAAAGCACAGTCCCAATTCCAGCCTGCCCAGGAAATCCTCAATTACTCAATTACATATGTAATGATTCCCTCGGTGCCCCTGGAACATAAGCAGTGTTTTCACTTTCTAACCAATTTGCAGGGATAACAAAAAGAGCCTCAGAAGTTAGCCCAATGCTAAAAGACTTTTTAAAACTTCATTTTTCCCCTGTTCACTTGTCAAAGTTTGAAACAATACACTCATTAATCGAGCTGAAAGACAGTCACCTATTATTGAAGTGGGGTTAGGGAGGAAGAAGGGGTCAGCATATCAGTTGCCCACAAAAAAAAAAAGAAAGCAAGGATTTTACATTCTGGCCAAGCCATTCTTAGAGGCTAAGTCAAAGGAGCTGCCCAAAATACCCCCTCTCTCTGGAGGAACAGACCTGCACTCAAATTGCTGAAACATGAGGCAGAGGATGCAAAAGGCGCGGAAGCAGCCCAGGCAACACACAGGCTGGTGCAGTCGGGGAGGGCTCCCTAGAGGAGGCAGGCCACAGTGTCACTGTGGACAAGGGGACTGGCACTCCAGGCAGCAGAGCCTAACTCTTCATCCTTGTCGTTTCCAGATAACACAGCCAACATCACAGTCAAGTACGGGCAGTTTGATCGGGAACGAACCAAGGTCCACTACCTGCCTGTGCTCATCTCAGACAATGGGAGGCCAAGCCTCACAGGCACCGGCACATTGGCTGTGACAGTGTGCAAGTGCAATGAGCGTGGCGAGTTCACCTTCTGTGAGGAGCTGGCCCCCCAGGTGGGCTTCAGCATCCAGGCGCTGGTAGCCATCTTCCTCTCTATCCTCACCATCGCAGGTCAGTGCCCAGGAGGGCAGAGGGGGACAGTGAGGGAACTGTGCCAGAGGAGGAAGAGGCCAGGGATCCATGCCCAACCCTGGGTCAGTACCCCACCCTGGGCCCTTGGGTTTCATAGTGAGACTTCCCTGGGTGCCTAAGGGTTGGGGGTGAATGAGGCGGGAGGAAGGAGTGGGGCTCGATGGCCCTCTCCCATTGTCATATAAAATACTTTATATATGACATTCATTCATTCACCTTTTATATTTTGAGCACTTGTATGCCAGCACTGTTCTAGGCATTTATTTACATAAATCCTATTTTTCAAACAGAGGATACAGTTTCTCTTTTGGAAAGAAATGAAAAGTTTCAAAACTTGTAGTTTAGCTTATCTCCAGGGGCTTTCTTTCCTTTTATAGGAATCCTCCAGCTTTGATTTTTTTTTTTCCTTGTCTCGGCCTCCAAAATTTCTTTTTCTTTTTTTATTTTAATTAGTTTCAAGTATACAGTACATTGGTTAGACATCTATATAATTTGTAAAATGGTCCCCCCAATTGCTCCCTCCCTCCCCTGACCCTCACCTAGCGAATGTATTCTATTTGGATTCCCTGTGCCGTGCTCCCCATCCCCGTGTCCATCCATCAGCTACTAATTTGTACTTCTTTAACCCTTCACCCCATTCTCCCAGTCCCCCAAACTCCCCTCCCCTCTATCACCAAATTGTCCACTATATTTGTGAGTCTGTTTTTGATTAGTTTGTTCTTTTTATTCCTTAGATTCCGCATATAAGTGAAATCGTATAGTGTTTATCTTTCTCTGACTTAAATACCTTCTACATCCATCAAAGCAATATGTTTTTCCATTCCCTTCCTTTTAGTCTGTCTTTTAATCTGAAGTGAGTCTCTTATAGGCAACATGTAGGGATCTTGTTTTCCTTTCCATTCATCCACTTTTAGTTGGAGCACTTAATTCTTTTCTATTTGAGGTACTTATTGATAGGAATGTAGTTGTTACCATTCTTTATTCCTGTTTTTGATACATGTTTTTTCTTCTTAAAGAAGTCCCTCCAACATTTCCTGTAACACAGGCTTGGTGGTGATAAATTCCTTCAGCTTATTTTTGTCTGGAAAGCTCTTGATCTGTCCTTCAACTCTAAATGATAGCTTTGCTGGATAAATTATTCTTGGTTGTAGATCCTGGGTCTTCATCCTGTGGAATATTTTTTGCCAAGCCCTTCTGTCCTGCATAGTTTCTTTTGAGAAATCAGCTGCCAGTCTTATGGGTTTTCCCTTATAAATAACTGTTTTTCTCTTGCTGTTTTTAATATCCATTCTTTGTATTTAACCTCTGGCATTTCAATTATGATGTGTCTTGGTGTGGGCCTCTTTGGATCCTTAGTTTTTGGAATTCTCTGAGCTTCCAGGGGTTTTATGTCCATTTCCTTCCCAAGTTCAAGAAGTTTTCCATCATTATTTCTTCAAACGGCTGTTCAACATCTTGATTTTCTTCAGTTATGCTGATCAGACAGATATCTGGACCCTTATTAGTGTCCCATATGCTCCTTAAATTATTTTTATAGTCTTGGCATCTTATCGCTTGCCATTCTGATTGACTGTCCTTGGCTTTCCCATCCTCTAGATAGGGCATTTGATCCTTTTCTTTATGCACTTTGTTTATTCCATTTAATATACTTCTCAGATAATGTATTCTTCATTTCAGACTAGTTCCTTTTTATAATTTCCATTTCCACTTTTATGTTTTTTCTCTTTGTTGAAGTTCTCACTGAATTTAACCAAAAGTTCATCGAGTATCTTTATAACCAGTGTTTTGAACTCTGCATCTGTTAGATTCCTTGACTCCATTATATCTGGGTCTCTGTTCTGTTCTCTCATATGGTTTTTGCTTCTTTGTCTTCCCATTTTGGCTGCCTTTCCGTGTCTGTTTCTATGTACTAATAAGCAAAGCTCCTAAGTCTCCCGGTCTTATTAATGTGGTTTTGTGAAGCAGGTGTCCAGTGGCACAGTCCTGAGAGGGGTTCAGCTACAGGCCAAATTTAGCTCAAGCCTCTGCCCCTCCAGGGCCACCTGTTAAGAATTAGCAAGCAATCCACAGATGCTTATAGTTGCCTCAAAAGGCCACGCTAGAAACCAAGGCCAGTTGCCTCCAGTGTGAGTCTAGGCGCTGCTCGGCAAGGAGCACCTGACTCGCTGAGGATACACCCAGATGCGGCTTTGGGTGGTGCCACGAGTTGGGGGAGGTGGGGTTTCAGGGAATCCTCTGGGCAGAGTGACCTTTGTTATCCAGTCTGATGACCTCACGGCAATGGCGGAGCTGTGTCCATGCACTGGGAGAGGGGAGGGCTCAGCAAGGAACAATGGATACCACTGGCACTTCTTTACAGAGCGAGTCTCACCTAGGCCCTCACTCTGACAATGTCTCCCTGTAAGTCCCTGGTGCCCCCTGTGCACAGCCGAATCAATACTGGTGCTCAGAGCGAGCAGGTCTGTCACCGTGAAAATCCACTCACAGACGCGGCCCCTTTAAGAGGTGTCTGCCGTTGCCGCTGCCACAGCCTCTGTCTCACTCAGCTGCTCAAGACCGGGCCGCCCCGTGTCCTCACCCCGTCCTACCTTCTGCCATCGCAGGGTGATTTCTTAGATTTCTCCCTAGTTGTATGGCTTGTTCATCTAGATCCAGGTGATATTTCCTTGCTGCTACTCCTTGTTTCCGTCACAACTTTGATTTGGTCGCCAGAGGGATGAACAGAGCCTCTATCATCTAAGCCATTTTGGTTCAGTTCACGGGGCCTCCAAAATTTTAGGAGCATTTAGGCCTTGCCTTAATTTGGGTTCCCAGGAAGAAGACTCTGGGACAAGGATTGGGGTGCAAGTGGTTTACTTGGGAGGTGCTCCCAGGAAGCCCCAGAAGGAAGAGGGGTATGAGATAAAAAAACAAAGCAGCCGAAGAAGGACACATTGTCACCTAAGTTACCACTGTGGATCACTGGAGCTTCCTCCCCCTGGGGACAGGGAGGCAGTGTGGCCCTCACAGCTGGTGTCTATCCATCAAGTCCCACCCGCTGATGGTTTGGGGCTCCTCTCAGAGGCATAAAGTCTCCCACACTTTACTTGCCATGAGATGGCGCAGGGCTGGTCCTCCAGTGGACACCCTCAGATGGTTGCAGATCGCCCTATGCACAACCACAGGAACCGAGGAGATGGCTAGGACCCACATTGTCTGCTCCAGGCCTTTCCTGACAGTAGCTCCCCAAGAGGCCCCCTGAGTTCACCCCCATTCTGGAAGGCTTCTCTGCCAGAAAGTCCAGACCCAGATTCCTCTTTTAATAATAATTAATAATAATGATAATGGCCTCACCATCACACATAGAATTGCACTAACCTTATAACCACCTGACCAAATATAAACAGAGAAGTCTTCATTTCATTTTACAGACAGGAAACTAGCTGATTCTCAAAAAGGGCATCCCAATTTTACTTACGTATGTAACAGTTTGTTAAATAGTTCAAGCCCAGAGAGCCTAGGGGGATGATCTGAAGTTAATTTGAGGAGCTCTCTGCACCACGCAGTCCACCCCTCAGGGGCTGGTCACCCTCACACATCCACACTCCCGAGCTTTCAGCAGAATCACATCGATGCTGCTGCCAACCACGGTACTCCGGGCAAGTCAGTCAGCCTCTCTGAGCTCAGCCTGCTTAACTGTCCAATGGGATAATAATACCCACCTTGAGAGAGAGAACATAAAAATGTGCCAGTATCATGCCCGCATGTATACAGTTGGCGCTCAAGAGTGACTGCTGCTAGTGTAATAAGTGCCATGTCTGCCGGCACCACCTTTGTGCATTATCATGATCAGAGCTGTCAACAAAGCAATGGATCAGAATTTTTGCACTCCAAATTCCAACTCCATTCCTTTCCCCATTTCTGCCCCCACCTCTGGCCTCCTGGCCTTTGGACATGACAGAGAAGGATTTGCCACAGTGGAGTGAGGAGGGAGGAAATGAGGGTGCAGGTAGATGGGGGTTGAGGCTGGCAGAAGAGAATGAACTTGAGAGAGGCCCACTCTGTATCTTTCCTCCCAACCCTACCAGTTGCCCTAACGTCCAGTCAGGATCACAGGGGGGCAGGGCAGATACCATGGAGGTGGGGGATGGGGGACCCACCAGAGTTCTGGACCAAACCAAAACTTCTGGGCTGGCAAGGATGTCACAAGGAAGCTGGGCTGGTCCAGGAATTCCCAGGGATGAGGAAAGAAAGCAGGTGACCCCCAAAGGGTTGGGGCCACCCATAAAGCTGCACCTGGTCTAACTCGCTCCGCATGCCTTGCTCACTCCCAGTGATCACCCTTCTCATCTTCCTGCGGCGGCGGCTCCGGAAGCAGGCCCGCACCCACGGCAAGAACGTGCCGGAGATCCACGAGCAGCTGGTCACCTACGACGAGGAGGGCGGCGGCGAGATGGACACCACCAGCTACGACGTGTCGGTGCTCAACTCGGTGCGCCACGGCGGGGGCAAGAAACCACGGCCAGGGCTGGACGCACGGCCGTCGGTGTACGCGCAGGTGCAGAAGCCTCTGCGGCGCACGCCCCCTAGCGCACGCGGGGGCCCAGGGGACATGGCTACTGTGATCGAGGTGAAGAAGGACGAGGCAGACCACGACGGCGGCGGCCCGCCCTATGACACGCTGCACATCTACGGCTACGAGGGCTCTGAGTCCATTGCAGAGTCCCTCAGCTCTCTGGGCACCGACTCCTCCGACTCAGACGTCGATTATGACTTCCTCAACGACTGGGGGCCCAGGTTCAAGATGCTGGCAGAGCTCTATGGCTCAGACCCCAGAGAGCAGCTGATGTATTAAGGGGGCCACAAGCACCTGGGCCTGGAGACCCAAACCATTGCAGCTTCAGCCAGTCGGACACCAGGACCTGAGGCCTCGAATTATAGCACTGAAACCCCAGCCCAGCAGCCTTTCTTTATGGGTCTCAGAGACCTCACCACCTTGGGTAGCAAACTCCAGGTCCCTGAAGTGTCCAGGAACCTATTCAGTGATGGCTACCTCCGAAAGGCTGGAAAATCCCAGCTAGTGTTCTGCCTGGGCTTGGATGTCCACATAACCCTGTCACCAGGTACCACAATCCAACTCAGACTTTCTCTGGCTCCTCAAAGCAGCTTATGGTCAGCTTCCAGGGAGAGGTCTTCCCTTGAGGTCCCGGGTGAGGCTGGTGAGTCCTGGGGGCCTGTCTACCTGGAGGCAAAGGGCAGGACAGCATGATCTGTGGCTGACACTCCCTGCTGCTCAGTCCCAAAGGAGACTGGGACTGTCCATCACGCCCACCCTGCTTCGACTTCCTCACATCCTCCCAAGTCCCCCACCACTCCTGGGCCCCTCCCCCGGCCTGTCAAGAGGGAGGAAGGGGCCCTTGGCAGCTCCCAACTTTGGGTCCTGGGGTGACCTCACTTGCCTGCCACACCAATAACTGTGCTGTACTGAGCGTTGAAAATTCAACCAAAATCAGGGAAATGGCTTGCCTAACTTTGAAGCAACTGTGAATTCATCCTGAAGGGACAGTGGAGACCAAGTGTGACAGATCATAGGGTGAGAGCCACTTCCACACCCACACCCTCTGGAGAAGGCCTGGAGTAGCTGTGACCCCAGTTTGGACTCATTGACACCCCTCTAGTTTCGCCTGAGAAGTGGGAACACACGTTTCCAGAGCAGGACACCTCTCCCCATCTCTGCCTTGCCTGGTCGCTCATTCACGCTCTCTCTTTTCTTTCTCTCTCTCTCTTCTCCTTATCTCTTGACTTAGAGGCACCCACAGCAACTAGCAACTCTGGCCAATGTCCAAACCGAAACATGACTGCACAATGGAGCCGTGCCATTTGCCTTTACACCTCGTTGTTGCCACATCTCAGGGAACCCCAGCAGGGCCGCATCCTCGGCGCACCCTGCGAAAGGCAAGGCCCCTGCCCTGCCCCAGCCGTGTAGTCCTGTGTGCATCTCCCACTTCCGGCCACACATGGAACATTCCACTGCAAACACACCTTGGAGAAGAGGCATCACTCAACGGGAAGGGGGCGGGGAAGGGGGCGGGGAAGGGGGCAAACCCTCCAACTCACCCTTGGTCATGACTGAGGTTCCCACTTTGGGCAAGGACCCTCACACTTCAGGGGACTGTAGATAACACTGACTTGTTTTTAACGAGTAACTAGTTTTTCATAATTTTTTTTTTTTTTACTAATAATACTTACATGTTTCTAGCTCTCACAAAAATATAAGAGTTTTGCATAATCAGCAAGTTACTTTTTAGGTTAACAATTTAACAGGTTTTTTTAGTTGGATAAATGAATTCCTGTAACCGATTTCTTATCATTATAATAACTGCTCTAGAGATAATGACTATATAATGACCGCACTGGTGCATGAGACATACTGTATTTTTTTATATCGAAATAAAGAAAAATCTTGAAATGCTCCTATTTCCAGAGCAGAGAGAGCTCATGTGAAACACACACACACACACACACACACACACACACACACACACACACTTCGCTACGATCATGAGAGAAACCCAGAGAGCAAGGGGACATTTGCCATCGGAATTTCAGAGACCCTCACCACACAAGAGGGACTGCTGCACAGAATCACAGGTATCTAGTCTAGCCCCGTCTCCTCCCAGAACCCCGTACCATCACCCAGGCTCTTTACATGCCCCCCAACCCCACCCGACACACCAGACAAGGACCTCTGGCAGCTGGAGCCACAAATGAAGAATGAGGGAGGTGAGATCCATCAGCAACGATGGAGGAAATCAAACTCCAATTAGCTGGTTGGCAACGGTGATTGAGCAGCTGGCACATCACGGGGATGTATGGACCCCAACAACATTGGGATCCTAGCTGAAAAAATCTCAAAATCAAAAGCAGCAGATGCCTCCATGTCAGACTTGGGTCTTGAACTGGGGAGATTGGGGATGAAGCCCACTTATGCATGGCCCCTGCCCCCTGACCCCTGCCAGCAGGGTTTTCTAGGCAATGGGTCCTCCAGGAACAATATTTTGCAAACTGTGCTCTGCACAAACACTACTTTTTGAAGCTTTCAGAGACCAATTTGTCTCGCGATTCCAATTTACTCTAATTTCCCTTGTGATTTCTTTTTTTGATACATTGGTTATTTAGGAATGTATTAATTTCTACATTTTTGTGAATTTTCCAAATTTCCTTGTTATTGACTTCTAATTTCATTCCATTATGGTCAGAGAACAGAATTTTTAATAATTTCAATCATTGTTAATTACTTGAGACTTGTTTTATGCCCTAGGATATGTTTTATCCTGGAGAACTGTCCACGTGCACGGGAGAAGAGCATGTATGCCGCTGCTGGCGGATGGAGTCTTCGACAGGTGTCTGTTAGGGCTTGTTGGTTTATCGTGTCATTCAGGTTTATCTCCTTGTTGATCTTCTGTCTAGTCTCTCCATTATTGAAAGCGGGGTGCTGAAATCTCCAACTATTATTCTTGAATTGTCTATTTCTCCCCTCAATTCTGTCAGTTTTTGCTTCATGTATTTTTGGTCTTTGGCATATAGATTTTTAATGGTTGTATCTTCTTGAAGGATTGACCCTTTTACCATTATAAAATGTACCTCTTCAGATCTAGTAAGAATTTTTATCTTAAAGTCTATTTTGTCTAATATTAGAATAGTCACTCCAGCTCTCTTTTGGTTACTATTTACATAGTACATCTTTTCCATCCTTTTACCTTCAATCTATTTGTGTCTTTTAATATCAAGCATATCTCTGTGGACAAAATATAGTTAGATCCTAGCAGTTCACCCATCTTGCCAGTCTCCGCTTTTCGATTGGAGTGTTTAATCTTTTCACATTTAATGTAATTACCTATAAGGTAGAATTTACGTCCGCCATTTCCTATTTATTTTCTATGTGTTATGTTTTTTGTTCCTCTATTACCCTAATACTGCTTTCTTTTATATTAAAGATATTTTGTAGCATACCATTTTGATTATCTTGTCAAATCTTTTAGTCTCTTTTTTAAGTTTATTTTCTTAGTGGTTCCCTTGAGGATTATATTTAAAATCTTAACATACAACAATCTAGTTAGAATTTGTACCAACTTAATTTAAATAGTGTGCAAAATCTTGCTCCGCCCTCCTTTGTATTATCATTATCATACCTATTAATTTTTGTACATTGTACACTCATCGACAGAGATTTATAATTATTGCTTTTTGCAGTTCTTCTAAATCTTTTCCCATAGGAGGGAAAAGAGTCATAAACAAGAAAATATCAAACAGTCTTTTATATCTACCTATACAGTTACCTTTACTGATGGTCTTTATTCCTGTGGATTCAAGTTACTGTCTTGTGTTTTTATATCAACCTGAAGGACAGACTTCCTTTAATATTTTCCTGTAGGGAAGGTCTGCTAGTGGAAATTCTCTCAATTTTGTTTATCTGGGAATGTCTTGATTTCCCCTTTATTTCTGAAGGAAAGTTTTGCTAGATAGAGACTTCTTGGTTTACAGACTTTTCTTTTTAGCACTTTGAATGCCAACCCATGGTCTTCTGGCCTCCCTGGCTTCTCACAAGAAATGACTGCTAATCTTATTGAGGAAAGTTTATATGTGATAAGTTGTATATCTCTTGCTGCTTTCGATATTCTGCCTGTCTTTGATTTTTCGATAGTTTCATTATGATGTGTCTAGGATCAATTCAAAAGTAAACTCTTATTTTACTTGGAGTTCATTGAACTTCTTGGATGTGTAGATGAATATTTTTATCAAACTTGGGACGTTTGGGGCCATTGTCTCTTCAAATGGTCTTTTTGCCTCGTTCTCTCTTCTCCTCTGGGACTCAGATTACGCATATATGAGAATGCTTTCTGATGTCCAACAGTATCTAAGGCTCTATTCATTTTCATTTTTTTCTTTCTGTTCCTCAGGCTAGATAATCTCAATTGACCTATCAACAAGTGTGCTGATCCTTTCTTCAGCTAACTGACATCTCGTCTTAAGCTCTTCTAGTGAATATTTTTTATTTCATTTTTATTGTATTTTCAACTCCAAAATTTCTATTTGGTTCTTCTTTTAGTAATTTATGCCTCTTTATTGATATTCTGTTTGGTGAGACATCATTCTCATACTTTTCTTTAGTTTTTAGACATGGTTTTTTTTTTTTTTAGTTCTTTGAACATAGTTTAAAGTCTTTGTCTAATGAGTCCAACATCTGAGTTTCTTCAGAGATAGATAGTCTCTCTCTATTGATTGCCTTTTTTCCTGTGAATGGGCCATATTTGCATGCCTCATAATTTTTGTAGAAAATTGCATATTTTAAATACTATAATGTGTCAACTCTGGATACCAGATCCTTGTCCCCCAGGGATTATTGTTGTTACTGGGTTTTGGTTGCTGCTGCAGTTTATTTAGTGGCTTTCTTAAACTAATATCCTAAAGTTTACACATTTTGTTGTGCATGGCCACTGAAGTCTCCGCTTGGTACTGGTCTGCTAATGATTGGCAAAGATTCTCTTAAATGCATTTGCTGAAGGGCTCTGTGTGTGTGTAGGGGATTCCTTCAAGGCTCAGGCCAGCAGTTTACAGCTCCGCCTCAGCCTTCACTTTCTGATTGCACAGAGCGTTGAGGTCAGCCAGAGTTGAGAGCTTAGGGCCTTCTTGGGTGTTTCCTGAGCATGAACACAGCCTTACACGTGTGATTCTTTTAGATTCTCAAGAATATGCCAAAGTTTTCAAAGCCCTCTGTGAACAGCTCATTCACCAACTTTTCCTTTTAAGATTTTTGATCAGCTTCTTGTTTGCCCCAGCTGTTATCACTGCCTCGTGCAGCTTCAATGTAAACAATTGCCACTGACGTTTTCAACAAATGCCCTCAGGAAAAAAAAAAAAAGGCTGTTTGCATTCAGCAAGTTTCAAGTCAGATTAAATAAACACAACCTCTCAAAGAGGTCTTCTAGGGAAAATGATGACAGTTATCTGGGAACTGGATTTTGGAGGAGCTCCAACCCTGGTTTGCCCCTTCCAGGGGCTGCTAGGATGCTTATTTTTACTGTGATTATGGAGCTATTGAGTTTCGAGGCTACCACAGGGCTGGAAAGAGGAGAGTAGGATCAGGGTAAGTTAAAACACCTCCGAGTTCACTGTTCTTACCAAGATATAGCCATTTTTTTGAGTAAACACTCCCCAAATTGTTGTAAGCCTTTGGTTAATTTCCAGAGTTCTGAAAAAGTGGATCTTGACAATTTTTCCACTATTCTCATCGCTTTTATGGAAGAAAGGATTTCCTTATTCTGCCATT